ACCTACCAATACGTGAACCGTAATACGAATAACGACACAAATTGATTACTATTATGTATTCGTCAATAGGAAATTGCATCTGCATGTGTTGTTTCCGTCTTACCTACACACACGTCCTTCATACCAAATTTTTGTTTACTAGTTTCTATAGCCWGCTGTTAGTTTTGATATTAAAGTGAATTAAACCATTATTAAAATTTTAGGTAAGAACATTATATCTGTGTCCTCTAGTTGGTTTTTTACGATATTTTAATTTTTAAACGAGTTATGTACATTTTCAAATATTTACACTTAACATGCTCATATAGTCATAACTAAATTTAAAAATTAAAGTACCGTAAAAATCCAACGAGAGAACACAGATAATGKTCTTACCTATAAAAGTTTGATAATGGGTCAATTCACTCTAATATAAAAAAATAACAGTAGACTATTGAAACGGGTGAACGAAAATTCGCCAAGTATAGTACGTGTGTAAAACGGAGACAACACATGCGGATGCGACGTCCTCTTAAAAGTCCATTTGTCGCTCACAAAATTCGGTGTGGAGAGCTTGTTACTTGTTGTCGATATGAGTGTGTGCACGCACTGGCTAAAAAGATGATATGGTTATGCTGACCAGAGAATGACAGGTGACTTTATCAAAATTGTTCGCGTTTTCAAGCACTAGTTTTCATTGCCGGTGGCAAAGACATTTTACTATACCATCCCTTTTCTCTGTGATGACGGCATATAAGTAATGCACACGCTTTACGTCTTACCGTTACAAATACGTATTGATTTCTTAATCCGTGATCATATACGAATTGTTCATTTCGTCGGAGATGGGGTTTTATTGATGATGTCCGATTTCGACATGCCACAATGATGATGACGAGCCGTTATTATTACTTGTTATTGTAATAATGTGAGCATATAATTTCAATTATTTACCCTTTTGGAATTTCGAGTTTAATATATTACTGCAGCTGCAGCGTACATAATATATATTATTTATTAWTTGTTTGGATATTAGTTTCCAAAACTTATTCGTCGTTTTTACAGGACGTATAAAACTTTTTGTGGAATGTATAAATAATTCCCCAGCTTCCCAGAGCTCAAATATTGTAATAATATACATTTTTTTTATACCATCGTTATTATAATATGTATGGTCTGACTTTGTTTGATTGTTTCCTGCACAGTTTTTCAACGTTCCTACAGGATTTATTAAAAAAAAAAAATGGCTCCGGGTGGGCTGCTGACCACCTACATGTATCCCCCGTTTGTATACATCCCTGGTAGAGTTATATTATAGTAGGCATACATACGGCAACTTGATAAAATTCACAATATAGGTCCCGCCGAAAAAGCAGTCAGCCTTTATGTTGCGCGTGTAAATTGTGTTCGCTTGTGGTGTAGAATAATATTTACGTACAGTTTTGAAAATAATTTTTTTGTATTAAATTATTATCATTATATAACATAATTTACGACTATATTAATGATGTGACTGACGGCGACGTTTCACTATCCATATATTATTATTGTATACGCGTAGGTATAAATGTATATAATATATATATATTATAATATAGCCGATAGGTTGGYATCTTTCTATATAAAAATGTATAATATTATACTCGTAGTCCTCTGCATTATACGACAGCAGAAGTGTACTATATACGAACTTGAGTGCCTCCTCTGCAACAAGTAATAACACGCACATTTACTTTGCACCTTGTTCATTACGTAAAACGTAGGTATACATGGTAGGTGTCTGGTTATGTATACGTATGCGCATAATATGTAAATAATAATAGCTCGTGTTTACAATTTGTTTATTATTATTATTATTATTATTATTATTGTGATTATGCTACAGAGCCTTATAGATAATGACAACCCGGTGCAGTGTTGTATAATACCAATGTTTTCTCGTTGTAACTTTTATAACACTCAAACGAGGAAAAAACACTCGTCGAATATGTGYGATTAGAGATGATTAGCGATTATTATTATCATAATTTCAAACCAATTTATACATTTTATTCCGTTTGTTTTGTCGACGGTTCTTTTGACGATAATAATTACATATTACATTATGTAATGTGTACCTACAATAATAGGATTAGTAACAATGCCATTACTAAAATCGAATAATAATTTCTTTTTTCCTTAAAAATTATAATTGTAAATCACCTTTACGTCGAATAAATACATATATGACATATATTTTATATACATAATATTATAGTCTTAAAGCGTTAGCACATTGACCACGTGTTAAATAATTTTATGTCAAACTGCACGATTTCGAATTAAGCTCATAATTACACGGCTACTTGGACACTTGTGTGCAGGTTAAAGGTGTAATTTCGTGGAAGAAATTCCTCGAAAATCAGATTTTAACGACAACAACTGGCTTCAGACATCCTACAATGTACATATATATATATATATACCTACCAAGTTATATAACATGTACATACTTCCTAGAGGACGAGATTTCCATCAATCGCGATGAAATTATATATCATATACAATATACATATATCAATATATTAAGGAGTTTTTATATTCGTAATGGTAATCGTTGTGTTCGGAATTAACTACTACAATAACGCACTATGTATAATAATATCATGTCTATCGTATTACGGTTATGTGAGGAATCCGTTATAAAATTCAAAATAGCGGTATAGGTACATAGACTATATTGTCTAATGTCAATATAGACTGCAGAAAATCAAACGACATCACCATAACACTGTATAATATACCAACGTAATATTATGTAAGCAGCCAATTTTTCATTTAGAGCTTTGGACAAAATCGAGTTTTATCCTCTGGTCCAATCATAATATTATATGGACCTGTTAAATCAATAAACTGTACACCTATAGATAACTTGTATGTACATACGTTAAACGTACATATCATTATGTCACGATTTATGCTATGTCAGTGTTCGAATAAAAAAAATTAAAAAAAAAAAAAAAACCATTGTAGAATACTGAGTACCTATTTATATATATTATATATCATATTTTAGTATGGTATACGCGTGAATGCGACTCTGAGGTATAAAACATTAATCGACTTAACGCTACATAACGCGTAATACGTAATATGCCTACGATGTAGACTATTACGTTCTCGTGTGAAGTGGTTTAATAAATGATTTAAAAAAAAAAATTTAACAATCGAAGTCGAGTTCTCGTCATTCCGCATGATTTCCTCCGTCGAGTATTTGAACATTATTGCGTACTTGGGATACGTCACTTACATACACTGGGAGTAAAACAATCACGCATTGTACTTGTAGTCAATAGTCATATATTATAATATATTCATGTACCTATATATGTTATTATTATTATTATTTTAATGGTTCCTAGTTCCTATACACAAGTGCAGCGATGTTAAAGGTGCTATATTATAGGGGTGAATATATATGACATAATAATATGATATACATATTATTAAAACAGTTATAATAACACAATTCAGATACCCGGTACAAAACACACATAAATGAAAGTTTTTTTTAAGTTTTTTTTTTATTTATCAATAACGAAAAAAATGTAAAACAAAGAGAAAAATATAATATTAAAACCATAACATAATAATATTATTTTAAAAATATACTAACTAAACTGCAGAATATTTTGTATAATATAATGTATGTAGTATAACCTATACAAATAAATTATGTTTAAATAATAAAAATAAAAAATATGTATTATACGGTACTATTTTAAATAACTAAAAATACGATTACTTACAATTTATAAAAATTAAATTTTAGACTAGAAAAAATCTACTGAATAGGTAAAAAAAAATTATACTTTAAATTAAAATTAAAAAAAAAAAACAAACAAACCGTACAAAATTTTTGTACAACATACGTAAAAAAAGGTATTTACAACAATTTTAAACTCTGTTGAGCCAAAGGCAGTTTTTCGTAAATTTTATACAATATGTAACTTTCTATTGATAGTAAAATAAAAATCGATTAAAAAAATAGTATTTAGACTTAAAATTTGGTAATTTCACCCAATGCCGAAAAGAAAAGAAAACGGTTAATATATAATATTATTTTAGTGTATATAAACATTAAACATATTATATACGTATAGATAGGTATATTTAAAATCTACTTTTATACAACGGGTAACATTATACCGATACAATAAATTAGGAATTTCGTTAGGTAACTATTTTTTTCCTTTCATTTACAATAAACGTTTTGGCATGGTGTGGTTCGCATCAGGCTCTAGGACCTAGTATGCTGTTCACAGGTAACTCATTTGTTGTTCTTGATTTTTTTTTTCAGGTATGAAAATAATGATCACAATTATTAATTATATTATAGGCACTTTGACATCACAGTGTTTCGCATTATTGAAAGAATTTAATATCATTGTAAAAAATACGAGATAATAATTTTTTTTATTAAAAACCTATCCAATTTTGACAGATATTACTATAACTTTTCAACCCAATATAATACATTTATTTATTTTTATTATTTATTTAACGGATCGGAGGAGTACTCTAACATTTCTGACGCTCGAGGGCTTTAGAAAAAAAACAAAACACAAGTCAAACCGAACGCAACCGATACTTGGTTACACATTCCTCTGCTTGTACGGCGCAAAAATTATAATGAAAATATGCACACTCTGCTCTCGGACATTTGGTACTTACAGRTACGAGTTACAAACAATTCATTGTTCTTGTTCGGTAGTAACGATGAACGAATTTAAATCCRTACTTACAGTACAACCTAAACATGCGGACGACGAACATTCGTATACAACGCACGTGGTAAATAATATGTAAATTATGTACAGGATATGCAGGTGTCATCACCGAAATTCACACGCATCATTAAGACCCGTACGGTATACTTTGAAAAGCAAATAATATTTTAATGATATTGTGGAACATTTTAAAATTATTAGGTACCGTTTCCAAACGCCGTCGGGGCTGGAAATCGGACATTCCTTTTTTTTTTTACATTTTGACAATATTCAGAAATGTCCCCGCGCCGACGACAACGCTTCCGATAATTCTGATACTGTTATACAATACAATTGTATAACACTTATACGATCACTTGTAAACGATCTATTAACATAATATTTACATCTCAGCTGACGTAGTTTTAATAACTGCATCAGCCAGAAACACCGTATAGGGACTATATAGATATATAATACATGTATAAAGAAATATTATACTCAATTTGGTCGATTAGTTCACTCCATCCTCTCACGTTAATGTGTTTTGTATAATATGTACAAATAAAAAAAAAATGTAAGTAAAATAAAAATTATAATTAGAAAAATACAAGAAGACGAGCAATTATCTCCGAAATGATATAGGTAATAAAAATTGAACACTCGTGGCGTATGCACATCTATACAAACCTAAAAGGAGGGGTAAATAATGCTGCGGCATTTTAAAACAATAATAATATTATATGTTTGCATTGATTAAAAGGATTTTGTACCAGTAGAAAAATAAATAAATAGCCCATAGTATAGTAAATCTATGGCTTAGACACACGCGTATAAAAATATGCCCGATATCAAAAGGGTTTTGGTAAGATTCGTAATATTTTTTAAAGAAAGCTCTAAATTTTTTGTACTTAAAAAATAATTTTATACGTTATTGTTACCTACTGTTATTATTATATAGGTATTAGTTAAGTAGCTCAGCGTTTAAGCGCCGCCGCCAATATATTTTAATTTTGTATTTTAACGTATATTGATGATTTGCAGTTACACAGTATTATAGGATTATTATATTAATACATAATATATCATTTTATTTTTTGTGTCAAGTCTCGATGGAACTTTTAAATAAACGATTTTTATGAACAATAACAATTATAACATTCTAACTAATAATAATAATAATAATAATAATAATAAAAAAAACAGGTCGGAAAATGTCCCTGTTTAATACCAAAAAGTGTGAGAGGAGATGATATTGAACCGGGTTCATCGATGCCAATTTCTTGAAACCTGAAAATAAAAATAAAACAAGAGCTTTAATTATCGCATATCGTCGAAGGCGTTGTTGAATAGCACCAACAAAATACCAATACAATTATTAAAATGAACACGTCGATCATAATTTCAACTATGCTATACTAAAGCCGCGGTCAAAAACCGAAAGCTTCGTAGAGTCGTAGCCATAATAATAATAATAATAATAATATAATCACATGGTTAAAAAATACATCATCAGCAATGCAGTGATTCAAAGTCGTCGGGTCGAATGAGTGGAGAGGGGAGGGGGGTTGACATATAATAGTCGCAGCTAGAGCGTTCGCACCACACCACACTTATACTATAATATTATACACACCGTTCAGAGGGAAAAAACGCTTAACAAGTCGTCGTGTTGGAACGACTGTGTATTACTATAATATATATTATATAATAATGTTATTCACTTTATACCTACATCGGTTTATTCGGTTTACGCACGCACATTTCCTATATAATATATAGGTACTATGTTATATTATTATTACTAGTTTTATGTGTATTTATGTGCTTGCAGTGTTCTTTGAGGCGTTCTATTATTATTATTCGGAAGCGGTGGAATATAATATAAATGTTATCCCGGTTTCCATTGAACCGGGGTGCGGATAGAGCGAAACTTGTGTGTGTGTGCTTTTACGATTTTTAATACGCGAATACACACGCAGCAGTCGCGCCCCTGAAACACGGAGGTGATGGTGAAGTAGGTGGCGGTGGAGGCTAGTGTGTGTGTGGGAAAATATTCAAAGATTGATAACCTGCCCGCGAGGGGTGCGCGTTTATAACAAACACCACACACACACGTGCGCGTGCGAGAACACACATACTGCACCGCAAACACATAAACCAGCGAGCGGTCTAGGGGGTCCATGGGAATTTCGGACGTAAAAAACAAAACACGGAGAAAAAAATCCAAGGGGCGACTGCACACAAAAGTGTAAATGATTATGCATGCGCGAACACAACACACACACACACACATATATATCATTATATAATAATAGTAACAGGTTAAGGTGTACACAAAGAAATCGCTCAACTAGGTCGGTAGGTACCTCTCTCTCACTATATATTTATATATATGCCTAGTTTATTTATACTATTACAATGCGTACCTACCTATATTATAATGGTATATATTGTATAATACCGCACTACTAAAGTATTATTATTCTGGTGATGGGTGATGATGGACGGTCTAACACCTGATATGATAATATAATAATATTTTATTATAATTTCAAGAAACTTTTATAATATTATTATGCCTCACATTTAGAGACTCGAACGATGACAATTTCCTACACGCGTGGCTTTGTCACCCGGGACGAAAGGCCGACATATTTTGTATTTTTCATCGACGCTGACACAACGTATAAAATTAAAATATTATTATTATTAGGAAAAAAATACACGTGAGTGCTATTATACAACATCACAATATTCTATTACATCGATATTGTATATAATAATAATAATAATAATATAGTAGGACGAATATTATTATAATAGTAATTTATCGTATTGTCGGAGCGGTGGTGGAAACCCGGCGAATTTTCGAATGTGCCTATAATATTATTTATGTTTCGCAACACGCGCTGGGAACAGTGTTATTTTGTACTGTTATTATTATTATTATTCCTATCATTATGTAACGCGACAACGCCGTTTTCCATCTCGCGCGCACATAATATATAATAATAATAATATACATTCGACCCAGAAACCCACACGCACGCCACAGAGTGAAAACAATGTGTGTATACGTGCGGCGGTGGTCATTTTTACGATCTAATAATAATATATCATTATAACATTATGTATAATATAATATAATATAATATAATATAATATAATATATGCGTGTGAGGTGTGTGTATTGTTGCAATGTATTATAAAGTGTTGGCTCGGAGATCGGCTGAGTAATTAATTTATAACCGTTACGCGATATTATTATTATTATTATTGTTGTTGTTTTGTCGTGTAATAACAACACGTGGTCCTTTGTAAGAATAAGCGACAGTCAAAGGTCGGAAATTGTCAGAACGGTAGTCATGTACAACTGTATATATAGCACTTGGGTGTTACGGTTGTTGTATCATTGTACACACCTAACATACTATTATAATAATAATTGTCAGATACAAGCGCCTAGCGATTTTCCGCGATCGGTTATTATCGCCTACACCATCACCACCACCAACACCACCACCAACACCACCGACAATGGGGGTGGTGCGCGGCGTACCCCGATATAATAATATAATATTATCAAGTGCATGTCGTGTTAATGATATAGGTAATCGTAGTGACAATTTGAAGTGATTTCCGACGATGCAGGGTGTTGTTTTCGCTAGACACGTTTCCGGATTCTGCCGGACATTCGGATCCCCCTCCCTACCGGTTATCAGAGGTGCTGCTGTTAAATATTGTCGTGGGCGCCTATCGAGATCCGTCAAGTGCAGATAGTTTTCTTTTTATATGAAAATAATATAATTATTATTGTCAGTTTTTTTAATTTATGGCCTACCGAGTTATAGGTCAAGGCAGATCTTGACGTAACTCATTATCTATATATATATATGTATTATGTATAATATGTATATATACATATATATACATACATGTGAAATACTTAATATCGATGATACGAGTGTTATAATATAATATTCACTCGGTTTCTGTTGATAACGCGAGCTTTAGTCGAATTATGTATATACTGTACAGTGTACGTCGTACCTCATACGTGTACCCTGCATATATACCGTGTTTAGCGTGAAGCATTCACCTATACACACGATTTTTTATTCATGAAAACTTCACCAATTTACAATCAGGCCATTATGATATTACAATATAGTTTTCCAATACATACACAAATGCATACGGGCCTGCGCAGTGCAGTGGGTGACGATGGGTCACTGCAGTTACAGTACACCTATCGACGTACTGATAAATACCGTGCAGCTGCACTTTATGGAGGAATAAAATTGCTAGACTTTGCAGTAAAATGGAAATGATTTACCGATGTTTCCAAGTTGACCTACTCCCGAGTTGGAACGCAGGAAACGAACGCGCAACCATTGCGTTCGCCCGCGCCTAACCGTGAAAATCAGTCGAGTGTTATATCGTGTTACGTGCGACTGTGTAATTATACACGCGTCACCTTTTTTTTTGCTCCAGCAAAATATCAGCCTCGGGCAATAAGTCATAACAACCTATATCTTATTTCTTTTTAATCACACGTTACATATTATTATTATTATAATGATTAACGTGGTAAGTATAATGTATAGTATCGCTGGTCAAAAACGTATCGGCGCTTAACCTATCATAGTGCATAAAGACAGACTCACGTTTCACCAAATTCTAGTCGATTTTTAAACGATTAAAAATCTTTAAGGAACAGAATCATGGGGCAAGTCTTGCATAATATGTGGTGGTCGGTGGGAAAGGGTGTGGTGGTGAGACGTGTGTCTAAATTACTAATTACATATTACACACCTACTGCTACTGAGGACGACGATGATAATTTAACAATCATACAATATCATATGGTAACAATGATAATAATAATAATAATAAGCAATAAAATTAATATTTACCATTCGCACGAGATGGTTCACTGCAAGTGTGGATAGGCGTCGAAATGTTTGTTGAGCTCCCGGTGAAGATGCTCGGGCAGGACTCCCACATTGGAGAATAGCGACCTGAGCACGTTGAGTTCTTCGCTAAGCAGCTCTATCCTCTTCTGCAGCCGCTCGTTCTCTTTGACCAACAGCTTGACCTTCTCCTCGGTCTCGCGGCTGCGGATCTTCGCTTTTTCTCGGCTCTTGCGGACCGCTATGTTGTTCCGTTCGCGCCTCCTCTTGTACTCGTCCGTGTTCTTGTCCACGGACTTGTTGCTGCCGGAACTCGACTTCCGGTGGTGGTTGTGGTGATGGGCCTTGAGATGCGAGCTGCTGCCGTTGCTGGACACGGGCGATGTCTGGAACGCGCCACCCTGGCCGTTGCTAAGGTACTGCTGCTGTTGCTGTTGTTGCTGCTGTTGTTGCTGGTTCCGGAACTCGACCGACTCCGGTGGTTCCTCCTTGATGGGACCGCCCGTGGAGGCTGGCGTGCTCTCGTAGTGCACGGGCTGCGGCATGTACGCGAGCGTGGTGCGCGAGTTAAAACCGTTTTGGTTGACGCCATTCCGGCCTCCACCGCCGCCGGTGCCGTTGGGCAACTTGACCTGGCCCTGTTGCAGTATCTCTGTGAACAGCCCTTCGCTGAACTGGCTGTCGTCGATGAGGTTCTGCAGGTCGAGCGATATCTCGGGCGTGGACAGTTCCGATATGTCGTACCTGTTCTTGAGCTGCCCGAGCTGCGCTTTCTTGGCGGCCATCGCCAACTCCTGTTGGCTGATCTGGTGGTGCTGCGGCTGATGGGCGTGTGGCTGCGGCGCCGTGTCGTACATTTGTGGTGAGTTCATAGTGTGTTGGTACCACGCGGGTTCTGTGGCTGTGCGTAGGTGCACGTCTCCGAGCGTGTGCGCGGAGCGAGATGTGACGGTGCGGGAACGCTAAAGATAACCGGAGCGGCGTGTACGTTATTGCGGCGCTCCGAACGGCGCGTAACACTGTCGCGGAAAAACGGTGCAGACGAAAACGACTTTGTACGGTTGTCGACGACCACCTACCTTATTACACCTACTTTGGTGACGTATAAAGCTCTCGTGTCACCGGTAGAACGATGCGTTCGCGGCGGTCGATTTACAGACAGAGACGAAGACAACGACGACGGATGAAGACAACGGCGTGACCATCGCGTTCATCGTGTGCGCGAACTTTGATTTGATGTGCCGTACTGTATGATATGCGTACAATATTCAGACAATACAATAATTACAAAAATAATAATATGTTTTTTTGAACGGCACCACTTGCGGATGACGGCGATAATATTATGTGACACGCGGGAAAGAAAATGCGAATTGATTTCTTAATTTTATTTTTTTAGATTTTTTACCACCGGACCCGTCAACGAGTGGGTGTAAAATAAAACCGCTCGGTAAATACCTCGTGAAGACGCGAGACGCACAGAATCACAATTATATGTTTCAATAATATAAATATAATTGTATAATATTATATTATATTAAAGCGCGCACGCAAAAAATAATATATATATATATAATTTTATTATGATGCGTACGCGAAATAATATTATTATTGAATGATATAGAAAAACGGAACGGATCGGCCGACGACTGTATAATATCACGAGAGCGTGTTCGCACCTACCAGACGCGTGTTCAGCGTGCGACTACCCCGGCGCAGATTCGGCACCAGTTGCACAGCATAAAATACAAGTATAATAGTAATAGTAGTAGTAGTATTAGTATTGGTTGTTGTAGTAGTACGTCGGCGACGCGATCGCAGCGTTGGCATACGCGCGGATTGAATAGCTGCCGCCGCCACGCTATCGCCTCCTCCTCCTCCTAAACGATGCTCGATCCCCACCCCTCCTCCCGCGTCAACGATGCCAACCTATGCACGCCGCCTTCCCTTCCGCCTATCGTGTATGACGTCCTCGTTGATCACTCTCTGCTCTCACTCCCTTCCTCTCTCTCTCTCTCACTCTCGTGCACTACAACAACAACAACAACAACAACAATGATTATAATAATCGTATTATTTTATTTTCGATTTGTCTTTCTTTACGAATTCTCTCCACTTTTTATTTCGGCTCATTATTACATATTATTACTATTATTTTCGTCACCGTCGTTATAATATAATATATATTATACCAAATTTGAAATTATTATTATAATGACATTATTATTGTAATGGTCTCTGCGCGTCATGTCCCGCGTGATAACTCGATCGCGTAGTATTATTATTTACAACTGTCTTATCGTTGTCGGTGGTTAAACTAATTATTACCTACTGAATAATTATATTGTAATTTATCATTTTTTTTATTAGTGTTTTTTTTTCTCGTTTGTTTGTTTTTTAGTTTTTAATAATCCATTCAAGACGCGCGGGCACGTGCGGCGGGTGCTGTAGAGATAAAAATAATAATTTCATTAAATAAAACGGAGAACGCCACGGCCGTTTTCGCTCACGTTACGCGCGTTGTATGTGTGTGTGTGTGTGTGTGTGTGTGTGTGTAGTGGGTGGGTGTGTGGGTGTGTGATTGTATAGGTGGTGATGGTCGTCGATCGGAAAACAGGGTGCACCACGAGGTACAGTGATATTCGTTTTCGCGAACGCGTGCCCCGGCGCCCATATGATATACCGATGTCCATGGACATACTTAGTGGACTAGTCCTTTGGGTGCATGAAATCGGTGTTAGTGTTCGGCAGAGGGCCTTGCTCGTTATTATTATACATTAAAATTTCATATAATAATAATATTGGATGTATAAATGTAGGCATGTAGCACCTATTCAAATATTGACAAGCAAATGATATTAAATAATATTGTTATTGCAGATAACGACTAATTTGAAACGTGGGTAAATAATAAATACTTGAATACTTATGCATTATTAAATGGTTTAAAAAAATCGAACAGCTCTTAATGTATAATATTACAGGTAACAGTTTCTGACTGTTGGCAATCTTTAAGTATTCAAAACTGGAGTTGTAATTATAAAAATTAAAAATAATTTACAGAAATTAATATTATAGTTTAATACTATTATCAAGAGTGGCTATTAGACATAATTCATTGTCTATCATGAAATTAAACTATGGGAAATTATAAAAACCTAATAATAATAGTTCCATGATTGTACATACATACTATAACGAAACGAATAACAATTTTGTACCTACCCCATGGCCTATACCCACTTATTTAATACACTTATGCACAAGCTTTATTTTTGAGGATAAACTTGAGATAATCAAAAAAATAATAAAAACCGTGATTATTTCCTAAAATCGCATAGTTTTAAAATGTATTTGCAAGAACTAAGAAACAATAAAATTAACAGTGTTTAAGTTAATTGCCGGGAATGGAAACAATATATACATTATAGGTACATATAATATATTACATATATATTGTACATAATATGAATATCTGTGACAAAAAGGTTAGGCTATCGCCTATCAATTAAAATAATATTTGCATACCTGCAGAGACTTTTAACTTTGTACCCCTCTACCCACACCATGCTTATATTTTGGTGGTCGCCCTGCCTACGATGTAACTAAAACGTAACGTAATACGTATGTATGAACCATAGGCTTATTAGGCTTGCGCACAGGGGCAGCAAGGTGTGCTCTTGCTACCCCTGAATGGTTTGAATATATTTGTATGGGCCGAACTATATAATAATAACATAACATAATAATATAACCGTATTATAATAATAAAGAATAATGTGTTATTGATATATTTGATGTATTTTTAATTTTGATATGGTATACTGGTGTTGAGCAAAAACAATCTATGATTAACCAATGATCATCGTTTAAAATATTTTTATTTAAAGGTCAAAGGTTAAATTTTGATTTTGAGCTTAAAAATTTTAACTTAATACCCATGTATGGGCAGGTAAAAATATTCGCTGCCCCCGAATTGAAACTATGAACACATACGAAAATACATCGATACATTTTAGTTTCTGGTCCCATACGAATGCGAATAACAATATGATATATTAACATTAACAAAATGTAATAGAAAAACTATAACACTAAATCATGATATAGATATATAGGTACGCGATAATCTTCGATGTTCACAATATTTTCTTTGCCGACCAAAATAAAAGTCAACACCCTTTAATTGACCAAAGACTAACTATAGCTTTATTGTTGTATAAAGATTTGTTGCAGTGCACCTCAAGCCTTAGACTGTTGCAATACATTGTATATATAGGTATATCTACCTATTACCGTATTATAGGTATACTGCAGTATTAACTATTAGGTTCTCATGAAAACGTTGATTGTCCAAAATCATTTTTGCTTGTACGTAGATATAATACGCAGGGTTGGCCAAGATATTAAAAAAAGTATCATGCTACATAATACGCATGCATTAAGTGTATCAAGATACAAGATCATGTATCAAAGATAATACTCAGATACATCATACATGATACTTTTATATTTCCAATCGAATTTTATATACTATTAAACCATGATAATACGTCGGTATATACTATAAACGAGTATCCATATAAATATACGATATAATATTATTATTATTTATAAACGCTCTTGATTATAACGTTAGGTATTTAAAAGTAATGTTCAGACGTGTAGGAATTTATCTGTTTATCGTTTACATTTCATTTAACGCGAAAAAAATATAAATGATTAATTCATTAATTATTACATGGAAAAAATTATTTGGTAATTATAGTCAAAATATATGACTCCCGAAACCAAGTTTTTTGGTTGCTCTCTGGCCAAATGTAACTGTAGCCAAATTTAACTTTAACTTATTATCACGAAAATGCACAGCTTTGCCTCCCTGGATACGAATAGATTCTCACATTGTCACAATATTAAAGAATACATTAATTTAATTCATACTTAAATTCTTACTAAACATGCAGAGACCTGATCATTTGTAATATTTAAAACTTTTCTCCATTCTTCTAAATTTGTCATAAATTTAGCTGTATGTCCTATCTTAGGTATTAATTCCTTTATCATATTACCAGTCAACAATGTTAAAGTAGATATGTCTATTTTTGTATAAGAAAACAAAGTTGAAGGTAAGCATTATTCAATAATAATACAAGTATATAAAAAGTGTAGCCGCTATTTGATCGAACAAACAAATTATAATAGGTACTCAGGCAATCAATAAAAATATTTTTGAAAAACTAAAAATGTAATCCTTAGGTACTCTATAATTTAATAATAATAAAAGTGAAATAAAAATCAGTTTGTGACAAATATTTCAATGTGGGTAAAAAAATATAAGGCAACAAAAATAATTAATATCAAACTATTATAATTTGTTGTTTTAATAAAAAAAAATAAATATTCTAACGCTTACCTTTGAATTTTTCAATGTATTTAGAAAAGTCCCAAGCCGTAAAAATATCAGTTACGTCGGAGTCAGCCATTATTGAATCAAATTGTTATAACCTATATAGGTATCACATAGCACAAAGGTATTCACAAAACGAAAGTGTATTTGTATCAAATATTTAAAACAGTAAAATAATGGAGTATCAATCAGATAGTTGGAGATTACAAAAGATAAAATACGTTAACACATGCAATAACACGTGTATTGTACTTACCAACATCCATTAAACTTTACCAATGAAATATCCGTAATTATAATTAAAATTTGCACAGAAGTCAGAACTGCAGAAAAATACAGGCTAATATTAAATTATAATAAATCAACAACTTTAGTAAGGTTATACACTGAACACTGGACACCGCAGTAGAGAGAAGACGCAAACGCACGATCGCATATTAAGTCTGAACACGTTGGTCGCTGATAGCAAAAACTTTATAACCGCAGTCGTCATACCGATTGCATTTACCTAAGACTTGGTTATTGTTACCAAACATGGTGCAGTCACAAATTTTTATAGTAATAACAATAATATAATGTTATGTAAATATCATTAAGAGGACGCTACATCCGCATGTGTTGTCTCCGTCTTACAAGTGCGTAACATTGCAAAAACTGTTTTGCGCGGGAAAGAACCGAGAAATATACAGTTATAACCAAGAAACGAAATTTTCACCACATAAAACGGAGAATTTTTTCTGTGAAATATCGTTTTTATTTGTTCGATATTAGAACTACAAAAAAAGGTATTCATGTTTAAAGAACACAAAAATTAATATATTATAAAACAATAAGAATTTTTTTTGTATAAGTGATRTCGAAAAAATAAAAACGATATTGCACAGACGAAATTCTCCTTTTTATGTGGTGAAAATTTCGTTTCTTAGTTATAACTGTAGCTTTCTCGGTTCTTTCCCGCGCGAAATAGTTTTTGCAATGTTATGCATTTGTAAGACGGAGATAACACATGCGGGTGTAGGGTCCTCTTAAATGATTAAATGGCTTTCTGTAGTTAATTTGAATTTAATGTAATAGTTATCAAATACTCCGTATATTTAATACCGAACACAAGCTATGGGAACTTAAACATTTTGTTGAGTTAACAAAAATATTGTAATATTTTTGTGCGTTGTAGTGTCAGCAGTACATTCGTAAGTGGAATAATTCATTTTGTAATTTCAACAAAACAAACTTTTACAACACTTCTTGAGTATAATTAAGATTATAATTTCTACCTGCATTTCTACTGTTGTTGATAAATTTGTGCAGTCGCTACAATAAAACAATATTAACATAACAGTTTTGTTATATACATATATACCATCCAAATATTTTTTTCTGTGTATAAACAATGTCATATTATATTATATTTTCCTATAAAACATAAAAAATTTAAAACTTAAGAAAATCTCTGAATACCTCCATCAATCACTAGGACAAGACGAGAAACAGGAAACAAGTATGCCATATTATTGTTGTACTATATATTTAACTAAACAATTGTCAGTCAATGGCCCAGATTCCGACGAGCTTATTTAAATAAATAAAAAAAATATATGCAACTACTAACAAATCACTCTATAATATACAAATCTTCAATTCAAAACATCATACTTAAATTAAATTAAAAAAAATCTGAATCCTGTTTTACCTACGTGTTCATTCGGGAGGGTGGATCCAGGCAGGCCAGTCGTAAGACATTTTCCGCCCTAAAGCGAATAAAAATAATAATTAAATTTCTGTCTTTTTTGGAAATTTAATATTACAATTTGCCGCCTCAATTTTTTTAAATGTTATGCCGCCCTAAAGCAACGCATGGCTTGCCTGTACCCTAGCGACGGGCCTGGATCCAGGGTGTTAGTAAGGAAAAAAATACTTTATTGAAATGTAAATGATTATGATTTTAATATTTGCATTTATGGATGAAAATCTTAGAACACACATTTTTATTAATATTTTAATATATAATTAAACATTGAACATGTTATAATATTTGTTACACGTTTACATTTATTAGGCACCTACCTAATAAATGACATGTAAAATCATTAATACATTGAATTGCATTGAAATTAGGCGAGGGTCTGCTAGGTTGAACAAAAAATATTCAGTTTCTCTTTAAAAAAAAAAGAGTTGTTTTAATTGTAATTTAACCTAACCATATCAAATGTAATTTGTATAGATATATAAAAAAACATAATATACGTTATATTTTTAAAACATAAATGATAAACTGTCATGATTTTTTAATCTTATGTTGAAATTACACTTGAATGTAATTATACAAGTAGAAATTATATTTTTATAAAATTAATAATGTTTATCAATCTACTATCTCTAAGTTACTATAGTGACTGTACCTATATCAGTTTATATCTATACCAATTGTTATTTAAATTATTATTATAGCTATTAATACCTGCAGTAGTGTAATTGCGGAGCGGAGGCAAGGGTGGCACTTGCCCACTCTGTAATTTTAGCGGCGAGAGCCGAGAGGTAAATGTATCTCCCCCCCCCTATACAAAAAAAAAAAAATTAAAAAAATTAAATAAACCGATGTCCCAACTGCAATAAAAATTTTAAATCATCTAAATTAACAAAATAATGCAATACATTTAACATATTACATTAATTATAAGATAACAATATTTTTTCTTCAAATTATATTGCAAGTATATATAAGTGCATTTATTTTACTTTTTCCTACTCTGTATATATCTACTTATTGACGTATTGTCAACGTTATTACATAACTATCTGGGTTAAAAAAATAACTCAATGATACTATTGAATGCATTTTTAATACAGTAAAATATTACAGTATTTTCATTACATTTTTCAAACAAGTTATACAACACTTTAAACTCTTACACTATATTACTATACACTTATACTAGGTATACACTTTATATTACTTAACGATATGGGTGTCTACGAAATTTGTTTCCAATAAGCCAAAAAAGAGTTATAACTTCATAAGATTTGTGTAAAAAAACCAATCAGGTTATGGCTTCGATTTTGGCAAATAAATTATTTTGCCCCCCTTCGCCCTCGTAAAATCCACGTAATAATAAGCCACTGATTCATATTATATCACTTCACGGCGCATTGATCGCATACCATTCACTTAAATGTATAAATTTCAAAACATAATGTAAGACTTTTTTAATTTGTATATTTAAATATAACCTGTTAGTGTGTGTAGTTTTCTAAACACATTATTCGCATAATACAGGTAGGTACCTAAATTATATTATAAATTATAACAACGAATAAATAATATAAATAATAACTATAATTTTAAGATGGGGAGGAGATGAAGCGAGGCACGTGCCGACGCAAGATAAATTATGACTACAGGAGTTTCGTTCAACCCCTACGGACAAAAAAAAAACCCTCCAAGACCCCAATTATTATGCCATTAATTATATTTCTCCGCGTTAATCTACTTTCTAAAAAGATCACTGACGTGATCACAAAGACTTTTACGTCCATTTTGCTAGGGGTGAATGTTATTGTATGGGCATATCGGTTTATACCTACGTTTCGTAATCACTCACAAAAATCCACAAGTCCACAACTACAGTAAATATTACGAAACTCCATACGCTCTTTTCATTGAGGTATAGGTACCTACTTACATACTGAGCGCGTGAGCATATAATATTAATATAGAAGACTTAAAACCTTGTTTCGATAGTAATAGCATTGATTTATTTATAATCAATGGCAATAGGTATAGCTAACCTACAAATGTCGCGAATAGCATGTTAGTCGAATTTCCAGAAAATTATAATACTTACCTATGTTTATAAATTAAAAATAATTGTTTCTTGATTTATTTGTAATTAATGATAGGTACCAATTTTATTATCACTTGAAAACCATTTTTATTTTATCTAACCTTGAGATCTTCTAAGCTTTTCTTAATCTTTTATTTATTAAGTGCTTTAAATGATATAATAACCATTTACCTATAATTCGAGTAGGTAATTTTAAATTATTGGAACAATAGCTACGTCAATACGTTACATATTATTCAATATTTAATGCATTTTTGTGTTTTTATGATTAGGTAACTTGATAAATTGCCTACGTATTGTCTAATTTTTTTAGCTTTACTTAACTTCCTACAATTATTTATAGATTTAATATTTGTTATCTAATTTTTTTTATCTTCTATAGATAATAGATACAGTCATAAAGAGATAATAAACAATAAACAATGTATAATATTTAATTATATTAATTAGAATTATTACCTACTTGAAGGTTATTAAAAGTCTAATCTGTTAAAGAATCTATGGCCTATTTAGCCTATAAATTATAAATTTTAGACTATATGCCTATATATATAAGTAAGCATATAACTCATGTCTCATATACAATATACCTTAGTATATTATGTAATACATTAATACCTACATGGCTACATAGGTATCTATATTTTGTTAGTTATCAACAAAATATTGTTCTTACTTCTTACCATTCAAATTAGGAAGGTATTAAAAATGTCTATTAAGAGAACATCTTGACTACACGTGTAGTCAAACGTAATTTAGAAAAACTGTGAAAACTTTGGTATTTTCATTTTTTATTTAAAAAATCTTGAGAATATTATTTCATTAATAGAACAATATTAATACATTAATAAATAAGATACCATTTAGATAACATACAGAAATTAGAAAAGATCTTTTAAATAAAAAAGCTAAATATAATAGTATAATACTAATAAAAAAAATTTTAATCTAAATAATTGTTATATCATATTATTTACTCTTGTAGTGTCATCTATTAATATAAATAATCAATGATTTATTTAACTTGAAACAAAAACATTTAAGTTCTAAAACACTACAAATTAATAAAATTTAACAAATAACAAATTTCAGATAGGCAAACAATCAATATATTAGATAAAAAGTTTATTATTCAACATGAAATGTGAATAAAGAATTTATTGCGAAATTTAACATATTACTTAATTGATATTGATATTGCATATTGTATTATAGTTATTTATTTTGACCTAATGCTTACACAAAAAAACTACAATATTGTTCTGAGATATGCATATTTTATCAGATTTTACTTAAGTAACAATAATAGTAAAATTGCATTATAAATTGAAGAAATAAATTAAAAAATATACATTGAGAAATATTTTTCTCAATAATAAAGTGAAAATAAATATATCAATAATAATAAGCATCATATTAAGTGTAAACACGGCTAAAGAGTTAGACTAAAAATATACTTAAGGTGTATGTGGTGTTGCGTATTATTAATTCCTTGTAACAATAAAATATCACTAAAAAAAAAAAATGTTTTATTTTCATAATAAAATATAAATACATAGATTGGAAGACAATAAATTACATACATTTAAAAACATAAATTATGATTTAATTATCTAGGAAACTAATTACAGCTCCTTATAAAATATTCCATAATTTAATTCATATAATAAATATAACAATAATGATCAAATTAAAATCTAAATACAAATAACACTAATAACAGTATAATAAAAATATATATTATTTATAGTAATTTTTTGATTGCAAAAATTAACCATGAAAAATAAAAATAGTTTAAGCAACCTTAGAGTATATGAATTAGAATGAATACAATATATTAATGTGGAATCATGTACTGTAAATAGTTGTAAGCACTTAATTCTCCCAAGCATTGACAGGCAGCATCTAAAAATAGTATATCATTAGCACATTTCTATAAAATACACATTAATACGTTAACATAAAATAAGCAATTATATAGAATGTTATTCAGGAGTAAGTATCAACATGTTTATTTAAAATTTTTAAAGAGAATGTCTTTGGATGGTACATTTTTATATATTGTAATAGTAATTGAATATTAATAAGTATTGTTTGGTAGTTTAAGATGTTTAAAAGTATCTATTAGCTTGTTTCCAGGGTAATTTAAGTTTAGAATGAAAGTAGCCAAACTACTTGACTACAAAGTATAAGCACTGTTTTTTATATATTTGTCAATCATATAATTTAAATAACACTATATTCCAGGGGCAGCCAAATGGTCGATTTCAGGCAATTTTAAAGTCAATTCTCTTTTGTTAGAACTTGTTATTGTATATTTAGTAGATGCAGTTACATATAAGATCAAGGACAAATGATCACAATGTCATATAGACATGGCTGTTTGGGGGCAGATACATTAAAACGAGAAAAAAACATAAATAATAATAATATATTTATTTTATTTGGAGTATGTAATTTTATATTAAGGTATACATTTTATTCAAATATGTTAATATGTGTAAAAATAAAAATAATAATACATACAATACAATTAAAAATTTAAGTTATTAAGTTACTGTACATTCAAATATGGCGCCAAATATGTTATGAAATTGTATTAAATAACTTCTTTTTATACACATATTTATTTATTTTTTAAATATAAAACGCCTATTAGTCATACTACTTGTTTCTATAATTCTATATATCTATTATTAGGTCACCCAATTTTATTCTCCACAATATATACATTATACATATATCATTATACTTTTATGACAATATTAGGGATTATCTGATGTTATCGAAAAACGACGTAATTGATAAAATCCAATTTAAAACCAATGACAATTTTATTTAAGCACCCAAGTTTGTGGTTTTTTATAACGGGTATTTAAAAAGTACAATCATATCAATATAAATACTAAGATTATTTGATTTATATAAATATAAATGTTTTTTTCAAGCACCGACTAGAATATTTTAAATTTCAGTTTTATTAGATATAGATAATTAGTTCTCACTAAACAAAATATTGTTATACCTTTAGAACAATTGCATTTCCATAATAATTTATTTTCAAGTACAGTTGTCAGTAATCCATTATGATCTGTACTTCCTTCTAGAAGTTCAAATGACCTAGGAATAGATTCTGAAAATTCAATTACTTCAGCGTGAATGATTCCAGTAAACAGCACTTCAGTTATGTCAGATTTAATTGTCAACCATGGAGAGTAAATCCGTATTACACTATTCTTCGTAACATTTAAAGGACAATTATTTAAAGTTACCAACACTCTTTGAACTTCCTTATCTGTAATAAATTATACTGTTATAGTAATGATATTCATTGCTTTAATTTAATTACAACTATAATTTTAACTTCTTTACCAGATTTCATGTAGTAACAAAGTAAAACAATCATTCTAAATTCTTTCCATGCTTCAATAACCTTTAATAATGCAGTTTCACCTTGTTTTGGCTTATAATTTTTAGATAAGCTTTTCTCATATTCTCGAATACAAGCTTCAGATTTCTTACGGTTAATAAGATCTCGAAATTTTCCTCTCAATCCATCCTTACTGTAAAAAATATTTAACTTTTAATAACGATAAACTATTTTTCGAAAAGTCAAGATACTTACTTCATTTTTTTACGTTTTTTAGCAGAGTCGAAACAATTAGGTGATGAAGGGCTATTGTCCGATTTTCTCCTATTTATTTCAGGTGAAATGATAATATCATCATCTTCATGAATAGCTCTAGGTGATTCTATAGAGTCAATCTGTAAACAAAAAGAAATTACTATGTGTTTAATGTTTATACTAACCACATTATTACTATAACTTTAAATACACACTTTAAATGGTAGTTCGTGATTGACAAAGGACTGTGTAGGAGAAGCTATAGGCTCAAATAAACCTGGTAATGTTATGCCATCAACATTTGGTGGAGTTTGAACAGATTGAATGAGCACTTGATTATTATTCTCATGTGGAGTTTTAGGCGATTGATCGACTTCAATCAATGGAACATATGGACTTGAAATTATTTCAGGGGAGTATTGGACTATAGAATTGTCTATATTAATTGATTCATGTTCAGGAGTAGAAGGGATTACACTTATTTCTGATGAATGCATAAATGAAACAATATTGTCTTCATTCTGATTAAAAAGCTTTTTTCTATGATGTTCACATATTTTTGTATGTTCTTTAACTGTATTTTTGGTAATTTTTTTTGTGTTCAAAGATGAATGTGTTAAAGATGTTTCGGAATAATATATTTGATTGTCATCATTAATTATACACAATTCTGGTAATCCTCGATTTTGATGTTCTTGTGATACAATTGAAGACTTTTTTAAAAATCTAGTTATAGGATACTTCAAAATATTTTCTGTATTGATAATATCTATAGAATCAAAATTGAATTCATCACAAAATTCATTTTTCGCGGTTGTTGATATATTTGTACTTTTCTGAATTTCATTAGTTGGTAAATTAATTTTATTTTTTCCATCAGTAAATGTCTTACATTTTGGCACTTTACTCCCATTGGTATAGTTTTTGATAATAGTTTTTTTGGTATGAATCCGATTTTTTTTTTGTTTTTTTTTTTTCATAACGGGTGAGACAATTTTTTCGGAAGATTCAATAATATCTTCAGAATTAGCAAGATTAAATTTTGATTCCATTGAACTTATGTGTATATTTACATTATTATATTTTGCATCTAACTTTTCTGGTGCTAGATCTATTGGAATGTCAATACACGTCTTATAGTTTATGTTTTCGTTTTTAGAAACATCAATCTTGTTAAAATTATTGTTCATAACGTATCGTTTTCGATTTGACATGATCTCGGGAGATTTAGAACAACCGAAAACTTTAGTGTGAAAATTAAGTTGATCCGATGGTTTGATGACCAATGGATCAACCGTATGTGACAACGAAATTTCAGTCTTGGCACTTTTTGTTGGAAATAAACACTGTTTCGATGTATGTAATGATGGATCTTGATTTCTTATTGTATTTTTTCGATTTGATACAATTTGGGGGCAATTTAATTGAGAAGCTTTGTATATGCTATAGTTTCTTTTCCTTAAGCTATTTGTATAATCAAAATTCTCACAAATTTTCTTATTTAGTTCTTCTGGTTCTGAATGTTGGTATACTTTACCGTTTTTATCTTCTCGGAATAAACTTCTTTTTACACGTTTGTGAACATGTTCTATTTTATTTTCATTAATTTTAACACTCGGATATTTAGCTGATTTTTTAACTTTTTCAACACTATCTTCTATGTTAATTCCTTTTAATTCAGGTAATAATTTTGGTTTGTGAGTACTGGTATTTCTGTTCCAAATAACCTCTAACTTTTTAAAAGATGAATGCTTAGGTAGGTTGTCCATTTCTTTTCCTATAATCATGAATTCATTATGTCATAATATTATATTCTTAGACATTACAATAAAATATACAAAATATTTTTTGAATTCTAAAATATACATAAAAAGTAGATATTGCTAAGTTATGTTATGCCTAATGCCCAATGTACATGGGACCTATTAAAGTACTAAATCACATCTATGACTACATTTGTGGATCGGCGTAACTTTATATACATTGATATTCGAATTTAGTTTTATCATTGTCAATGAATAATGATCATTATCCACGACAATTACGAGTGTAGGTACAACTGAAATGTTACCACCAGTTACGAGTGTTACGACATAATCTGACTAAAAGTAATCTCAAACATAGCGATCATCAATGTAAAAAGGGTCATCACTAGTTATATTGTAATTTGCCAAAATTCCCGAAATGAGTGGTACTATAAAAAGTTTAGACTGTATGGAGATTACTGTACAATACATATAACTTAAGAGCGATGAATTCACGGAATGTATAGAACACGGGTTAAAAAAGAATATAAATCAATTTCACCGATTGATTTGAAAGTATAGAAATAATTGTTTTATAATTACCTTTGACGGATTAGAAAAATATAGATCATAATAATAATTGATAGTTGAAACCTAGTGAATAAAACAATTTCAATAAAAATGTATTTCCAAAATAGTATATCTACATTATATTATATTTTACTATCGTAAAATGATCATTATTGTTAGTAATATTATTGAAGAGTGTATTTTTATTAGTCAATTATTATTATTATCTCTATCTATTATACAACATTTTTATAAAACTATTTAATTATGAGATATTAATAAAATTATAAGCTATGCTACAATTACTTTTATTTTAAAGTTTGTAACGGTATAAAAAAATATATATATAATGGCACAAAAGGACATGTTTGATGAAATAATTAACATAAACGTTTTAAAAAATAGTTACGTCAAATTACCACTGCGACAAATATTAGAGTTCTTTGATAAATGTTATAAGTTATAACGAATAGATATAGGATTCATATTTTGACGAAAAGTGCGCAATAAGAAAAAAATATAAATTCAAATAAAAATAAAATATCAGAAACAAATTTAACTAAAATGTCAAGAGTATCATGACAATAAATGAAAGAGCAACCAAAATTAGAAATAGAAGAACACAGATGAGCCTTAATAGGTATTTAGACATCGATGATACAATAGAAAATGACATGTTATAGTCGCGGGGAATCATAACGTAGTGAACATTTGAAGAATCATTTAAAATTTGATTTAATTTGACGAGACATTACAGTAATGTGTATATTATATTTAATTTGATTTAAAAAGTTTAAATAATTTTTTACTAAGATTTTAATTTGAGTAATAAACCCTCAGTAGTATAGGTATTTCAAAAGCTGATTAAATTAAATTTAACAACAAAATTAAATTGTAAATGAATATTATGATAATTAAATCAAATAATATATATTTAAATTAAAGTAACATGTTAAACGTAATAAAAATTCAATAAAAAATAATATAAGCATTATCAAGTTGATCACTAGAAATCCTACCACGAAAAAATACTATTTGCAAAACTAACATTATATATTGACTTTTGGTTAATTTACTATAATACATTTACGAGTATTTTTTACTATCCAAATATTATAGCTAAACTACAAACAGTATTTGCATTTAATAAAATATCAATTGTATGTAGATTAGCAACATATCGTGAACTTCTATAACCTATGGTTGTGTGGCAATGAATATAAGTATTACATGCATACCATTAACTGTTACGCATAATCTATACAAATACACATTGCACCTTGGTCAGAATACAAGTTTGCATTGAAGTGCAAAGTTTAATTTATCAACTAGGCACCTATAACTTTTTTGTTAAATAAAATATCATCTTTTACAATGTACTTTATATTAACAAAGGCAAATATTTGAAAGTTATAGTATATCTACATGTAATATAGAAAACATATTGTTTTATAATTAATCGTTAAAAATAATATCTTACAAACTACCTAAATGGGAATAATTATTTTAAATAACTTAAATATTCCATGAAAGATAAATTATTTCATCTGTAAATAATTACAATATACGTATAATTTAAACACTGGTATAACGTTACTCTGCTTTATTTTTCTTATAAAAATAATTATAAAAGCACTTTGTGCATACAGTTACCATATCACAATAATTAGCTACGCTTAAAATAAACACGCCAAAGTGTGAAAATCGTAATCAGGGACGACTTCAGGGGGCCTAAGTCTCCCGAGCCCGTATTTATAAAAAAATGTATTTTGTTAAAATAAATTCATTTAACACGCACAAATATGTAGATAGAGGTATAAGTTATAACGGTATGTATCTGCTATCTAGTATCTATATTATAAAGAACCTATAAAATAAACTATATCCTATAGACTATAATAATATTTTATAGTATAAAATATACCATGGTCAATGATCTGCTGACTATCCTTATTATGTGTATAACAAAGTGATCAAATAGATAACATTATTGATATATTTTTTTTACATATAGTTTTGTCAAAATTATAACCCCTCCACCTCAACCAAGTCTATGGAGCCGCCTCTGGTAGTAACTAATATCTGTTAAGATATGCAATATAAACATGTTACATTTGAACATGAATCATGTGTTACATAATCACTGTAGCTTGTATAGTCGTATAGAGTATAGACCAGAGGTGCACAAGGCACAACCCACCACCCGCTGGCCACATATGGCACTCGAAGGTATTGTGAGTGGCCCGTTACAAATTTTTAAATAAAACAAAATATTCTAAAACAAGCAACATTATATTTATTTATTTTATAATAGTAATGATAATAATAAAATAAATATATATATATATATATAATATATATATATAATATAATATATTATATATTTGGTGGCTCGCTTGAAAATTATAGCTTACCAAAGTCGCACGTTGAACAAAAAATGTTGGGCATCACTGGTCTAGACCATAAACATATTTTGTAAACAATCAATACCTAAGTACGTTATAAAAATGTTTGAATTTAAACTAAGTTTCAACTGACTAACAAATTTCAATAAAATACAAGAAGTAATTTAAGTGCTACAACATTGTACATTAACAAACCTCATACTTCCACTGAAATTTATTGATCTAAATGGTTTTAAAAATAAACAATATACTTTGAAATGTACTGTGGTTGATTTTACAACAAATTTCTAGTTCCAACATTTTTTTTTAAATTTTGAAGTTTTAAGTATATTTATATCTTATAATTATTTGTTAATATGTTTTTAAATTATTGATTTATAGGGACTGTTAAAATTTAAATGCATATCTCATTATTTAATCGTATACATTTAAAATATACCTATATTGTTTTGTAATCATTTAGTTTTTCTACTTATAACATATAATTATCATATAACCTAAAAAACCATGTAAATGTACATAATATATAGACATTCCAATTACAACAAAAACAACAATAAGAATTTGAAATCGTATACAGTAGGTATTATTTTCACCTATTCATCTATTTAATTCGTTCCAAAGTATCAAACACGCTTAAAATAGCTCATATGATTGAACAAAAATTACATTTTCCAAAATGAGTAATATTTATATTGATTATCGACACATTATATAAAATATATAAAGTGAGTCGGGTACAATATTTGTATACGTTTTAACGTATTTACAATAACAAATCATTTGACCTATAAACTATAGAGTTTAGATCGCGTTTAGATGGATCAGCTATATGGTAATTAGTAAAAAATAATTTTATAGTCTGATTTATACAAAATATATTAGACTGGCACCTACTCAAAATAGTCAAATCCAAATTTCATATTATATTTCGATGATTTTTCATATAATACATTTTTTTTCAAAAACAAAAAATTGCGTTTAAAAATAGGTAAGCATCTATTCTTAATATTAAATATATATTGAATTTTAAAGGAAAAATGTATATTTCGGGTATAAGTTTAATCATAAAACAGAACATTATATAATAAATATAAAATAATAGCAATTTAAATTTAGTTCAAAATGATTTCAAAGGTAAGTATTGAAACCGTTTTTTTATAATAGACAAGTATGCATGCTACTAGATGTCGCTGTTGCGATTATATTATACAATATATATGACTACACAGTGTATGCTATACACTATATTATACAGTATAGACTAAGGTATAGCATGCATATCCGTCAGCCGGCTAGCCACTCACCGGGACTGGGTAACTACGTTAGTCGTTACACAGTTATCACGTCGTGCACGTGAGGGTAGAGCTAATAACTGGGAACATTTTTTTTCATTACTTTTTCGTTATATCCATAATAATTATGAATAAAGACAATCAATATAGTGTGTCGTTTGTTTCGCTCACAGCGGTTATTGCTATAGCCGTTTTGTTAATCGCCCTCAAATATTGTATATTTTATGTAGTTACAGTTTTGAGTGCAGTATGGTTAGTAATCAACTACTGGAATTTTTTGGTCAGAGTATGGCAAACCCTTCCAAGAGACGCAATGTAAGTAAACAAAAATAATACAGGATTAATGAAACATTTAACTAAATGAAACTTAAGCAATATCAAATATTCGTACATTTACACATGTGTAATAACTAATAATAGCTATATATGATTATAATTTTAAGTTATTTGTAACCTTACCGTAATGAATTTCGAATCATCGAATATATAATACGATGTAAAAACAAAGAAAACTGGTTTTAAAACATTTAAAAGTTTCAAATACAATTGAACAAAATATATCAATATACCTAATAAAATTAGAATCATTTTTAAAACAAAGTCTAAATATATAATAAATAATATCAAAACAACGTAATTAGTAGTTAGTAAGAATTAAAATACAGTCGAGTACTCGAGTCTCGATAACTCGATTTTTTTTCCTTTGAAGTGTTTTTAAGTCGTATTGAAGTATAATACTCAAAAATTACTTAAGTCGAATTGTATTCTCCCCATGATTCAAACTATCGAGACTTAACCATATATTATTACATTTGAATACCTACCATTACATATAAAAATATTTTAATGGACAAGTATAATATTTTCAAAAAATACATACGTCAATATTAATAACACAAAATATATTGCCAAGATAAATAAAAAGATAACACTTTAAAACACATCAGTTATTTGTTAAAAATTAGAACCTATTTAAATCTTTAATGTGTTTAAAACTAATGTAATTTTTTAACGATTTTTTAACGATTATTTAATTATCTTTAAATTGTGTTAATTAATAAATAAATCAGATAATACCTACATACACAACATATTATATTACATCGATCTTATTTTAAAACTTATTTAAATGTTAATCGTCAAATATAATTTTTATTTAATATGGCTAATAATGAAATATGTTATATTTATAAGCTTATATAACCAATAAATATACACTTATATACTAAAACAATTCTTATATTATCAAAAATGTTTACGTTATTATAATATAATAATGGTATATATCTATAATAATGAATGATTATATCTGAAATTATCATAACAACTTTTCTGTTAATTTGTATAAATCGTAAATATCGAACTACAATTTTAGGGTCATAAGAATATACAGGCTTAAAAGTAAAATTCGCTTATATTTTTAAGAAATAAATAAAATTTGGCTAATGTCGAAATCAGAGGGATATGATACTTAGACACTTGATTATCAATAAAAATGGTTTATTTATTGAAATCTCGCAATATTCCTCGATGTTGCGTTCCAAGTATGTTTTGCTTAATAAAATTAACTAAGTGATAGGTAGTTGTCTAGTAAAATTTTTAAAATAAAATCTAAGTAAAAAAGGACAAAAATACGGAAAAACGGCGATTAAACTTGAATAAAAATCCACAACCGAAAAAACCGTACAAGATCTAGAACTGATAATTGGTATAATCTGAATTCGTTTAGGTTCATCAGTGGTTGATAGTGATGTATTATTTATTATGCATTTGAAAGCAATTAAAAATTAATTTCTTTCAAAAAATAATTTTGCAGTGCGCCAGGATAACAGTACACATAAATAGCTAAAAAATGCTTTAAAACAACTAAAATTGATTTATGAGATGTTTTTGTTAGATATACGTAAAATTAGAATAACATAAAACATACCAAAAATAAAATAAAATGAAAAATTCTGAACTTAAACAAAAACTTCTGGAAATATTATAGGTGCTTGTATTTTAATTTTAACCAAAAAAGATTATTTAATAAAGAATAGAAACACCGTACATTTACAATCTTCGGAGTACCTAAATATTTTTTTAAATACCAGAGGAATACTAAGAAAACCAGGAGAACTCGCTTCTAGTATAGAGTATGTTTTGAGTGGGTAGATATGAATGGTAGGTATTTCGTCATTGGGTCAGTGTCATTGTAAATTTCTAATAAATGTGTTAAGTTTGAATTCAATAAAACATAATATTAAAATGTAAATCTTTAAATATAGGTAATAAGTAGAAATTAAGCAAGTATGTAATTAATGTAAATTTAATATGTAACGCCGGCTAATAACCATGTAGTTGATGCCATAAACAATTAATAAAAAAAAAAAAAATAAAACATACCTATTTAGTTTTTTACGGCATGTAGACATATTCTGTACGAAGGAGACGAGATGAGAATCAACGTTTATTTCTAAGAATAGTTTATGCTATATACAATAGTAGACTTATAGGTAATATTATTCCAAAACCTCAAGCATAAATTTGCTTCAATCCTTCCAATCAATCAACCTATAATATTTACTAACTGAAGCTTCGTAATACGTAACTACGCAAGCACTCTTCACAATTATCTTTAAATTCTTATTTTCTAGATTAATTAGAGTCCAGACTATCTGTACTTGCATCCATTCATTTTGAAAAAGTTTGATTTATACACCTTTAATCATCTTTATCTGATAGCCTCCCAGATAACCCTCCTCATCACTTAAAACGAAGTTAGAGATAAATTATAAGAAAATTTATAGATTGTAGAAGTATGATTAATCGAATTTTAATATCAACATTTAAAATAGATATATTTGTTTTTATATAATTTGAAATTGTATTAGTTAGTACTTTGGGTACATAATGATAAATTCTTAAATATTTATAATCTTATAAACTTTAAATATTTTATTCATTTTTTTTTTTTATTATATGAGCATAAAAAAAAAAAATGAAAAATAATAATGTAATATTCTAATAATTTACATCTATGTTGCAATGTCAAGGCTGTCTCCTAATTAATACAGCAGTACGACACTTCAATATAGTCTCAATGATGATAGTTACAATAAAAAACAAAAGTATATCCATTAAATATATATTCTTTTTAACTTTTATTATTTGGCATGACTATTGAATAATATGATCTATATGTTATGACTATATAAATGTATTGTTTTTTTTTTTTTTTTTTAATCTAAATAGCAACAAATAAAATTAATATAATAATATAAGGTTGTAAAGGTGTAGCTAGATTTTACAAGAAAAATTCACATAGTTATGAACTATGGTTATGGTATGCTACACAACAACTTCCTTCATTTGATCACTTTCACTTGAAATCATTATTTATTATTTTATATAGTTGTTAGAACAGCACGTACCGTTTCACCTACCTTCTACAATTTACAAACCTTAGTTGTTGTAATTTGTAAATAAAGGTTGCGTAACTAATTTAATGTAATAATTTTGTACAAAAAAATTTTTAATGTAGGTACTCGCGGTGAGAATATGGTTAAAAAAATGTAAAAAAAAAACATTTATATTGAAAATTTTTAATGAAATCAAAATACATAATGATTTAAAATTATACGGGGTAAAAATTCGAGCATAGGATAAATTCTTAATGTCAATTGCTTTCCTTTTAAATTTACCTATTTCTAGAGACTAGAGAGTAGCGGATTCAGTCATGTGTGGTTTGGTTAGATGTAAGTTATATCTAACGTCTTATTTATTATATTATCTTTCTAATAACAATATTGACTGTTCTGATTTATGAAATAAGATTGGTATTTGTACACACAATTATTCGATTAGAAATTCAAAAGCTGATTATTTTTTTCCGAGAGTGCTTTTACTACCTATATGTAATTTGGCATGATTTTTTTCTTATGTTCAGCTAAATATGTTTTAGAACGAAAGCTTTTTTTATATTTTCAAACTAAACCCGTAAAACCCATTATTATATATTATGTTATACGATGTCATATTATTAATATATTTCAATATTCAGACTTACATAGGCACCTACTTAATCTTAACTAAAATATTATTGTATGTATTTTTTTTCGTTGTTCTAATTATATTATTATATATTTCTGTATTTAAAGCCTTGTCACGTAAAAATGTTAATGAATAAATAATATTATTTGAATTTTATTAAAAAAGAAACTGAAAAACAGGCTATGACCTTGAAATATAACGGTATCGGAAATCAAATAATCACTGGTTAGGTTAGGTGTAGATAGATGCCTACTTTATATAGATGATATTTCTAGGAAATCTCGACACTTGCATGCATATATATTGTATTTACACATATTATAAAGACTTAGGCATTTTAAACCAATCCATTTTTTAAAACTTCTTAATATTGAAAGATTTTACTAAATTTTTTACCCTTAACACCATATTCATCTTAAAAATGTTGATTGAAATTATTCATAACCCACATAATAAAAACTACAATCATTATTAATTTTTAATAAGAAGGTTACTTAACAAATAATATAATATGTATACCATTAGGTCGGAACATAAAGAGAAAGTTTTGGTAACTAAAAATATTTTAAATGGTTTTGTAATAGTGATAAGAAATATGAACAGGTCGATGAGATACAAAATAAATCTTACATAAAATCAGTTGTTTAAAATTATATATAGGTAAAGCAAGAAAAGCAATTTGTTTTTTAATATTCTGAAAGAGATAATAAGTGAGATAAACTCAATTAACCGTGATCATATCATTATGAAGGTAGGTTGTGGGTATTTATTAATAGGTATTGATAAACCATATAGTTTGAAGTCTAAAAAACATAAAACTCAAATTTTCTTTACCCTTCAAACAAATTTCAAATTTACAAACACGATTATTGCACCCTTGATAATAATTATGTACTCAATTATATAAATTAACTATGGAAGTAAATTGGATATAATATATAAATATATACCTAAATTAATTAAATCTAATAAAAATTATTAGAGACAAAACTAGGTATTAATAATTATAATAAATATTAATAAAGTTTTAGCTTAATATAATTAATATACAGTGGAACCTCCAAAACTCGAATCGGTTGCGTGCGAAAAAAACATCAAGTTATCGAAAATTCGACTTTTTGAGGTTCCACTGTAATTAATTACGTTTCGTAATCTGAGCACGTCTTTGTTCATAAATTGGCAAACTTTTAAAAATAATAATAACCTATAAAGTTTAAGACGTTAAGTACCTACATATCAACACTAACAAATGACTAACAGATGAGTAATCAGAATATTCCAAAAATTCTAAATGCAATTTTCCATACAGATTAACTTTATACTAAACTCTCATTCTTTCTATGTATACTTACGATACATTACATAGATACGAGTGTACTATGCATAGTAAGTCGTAATATTGTATATATTAATTACCTACTTAAATAAATAATATTAATAATTTTCTTTATGAAATGATTATTTTTAAAATTCTGTATATTATGATAATCTAAACGTATTCTATATTATATGTATAACTATAATATATTGAATATCAAAATATGATGATGATATTACTACTCCATGTATATTTAGATATTAAATTAAAATGACACCTTAAGTATATTTTACACATTGCAAATTTTACGTTCACAATAATACATTTTACCCTTTAATTTTTAAAATTAGATTGAATTTACCTTTAATAAAATTTAAAGTCAAGAATAATATCAAGGGCATCTCGGATGATTTTTTTGATACTATTATTTTTAAGTAAGTTATGATTATTTTAAAATATACAAAAAAAGTTTTAAAATGATCATAACTTATTTAAAATTGTATATAAGGTAAATTTAATCTAATCTAAGAAATTACGGAAAAAACAAATGCCCATGTGGCGTCCTCTTAATACCGCTTTAAAAAGCTTTAACAATAAAAATATTATATGGCACCTCTATTAACTTTTACGAATGGTATATGTTTCAATGTTTGGCTTGGTTTTTTTATTATATTTCGGGGATTTTAAATTTGTCATGAAAAATATACAGTGACTAAACAATGTGCATTGCTTGGCAAAGTAGATATAAATAAATTATTTTGACTGTGTTAATCAAATTATTTATAAATTCCTAACCATTCTGACTATAATCTTAAGTACAACAATGTCTGTGTTTTTGAACAACTGATACATTTTATTATTATATCATTATATTTACTTATTTATATAAATCCTGTACTAAGTATATTTTTTAGAACCATAAATAGCTACTGGCAGTGTTTTATAATATTTATATTATAATATTACTAATCTTTTGTTCCAAGATCATATGAGCTATTTTATTTTATCAATTTTTAGGATACCAATTAGATATATCAGAACAATAAAATTATATTTTTTCACTATAACGGAGGACTGATTCTTTTACATAATATACGTACCTACTCATATTATTAAACATGATTAACCACGTTGTAGGGTCCGTTCAATTATTAGACTAGCTACCTTATTTTGTTATGATGTGTCTATTTAACAATCAAGGACGATATTCGTACATTCGTACGGTTGTGACCTGTGCATTATATACAGAGTGATTTGATTGCTTATCAATAATATATGTACAGAAAACTTCTATCAAACACACCTCAATATAGTTTATTATTTTATGTATAATGTGTTAATATTTAAATAATTAATATAATATGTCACGTAAAAGTGAACTATTTGAGTTGTGCGGTAATTTTTTCTCATAAGATGCCTAAAAATAGTGGTAACTTAAATTACTTATATAAACACTGAGAATTAATTACTCTTAATACCTACATTTCATACAATGAAATTATATTGTTTCAATTACAATAGAAATAATAATTGTTTAAAGCAAGATGACGGATAGATGTCCGTTAAACGTTATAACTTATAAAGGTCCTTATCGTTTTATTCAGCGATCACGGCAGTTTTACACGTCCGCACCCTTTAAAGGTCTTAATAACTTTCAAATTAGGTTTACATTTGTTTTATTAAGTTTTACCAATCCTCGATTATGGAATGATAGTATCTAGGAAATCTCTGCGATCCTGCTTGAACTGAATTTACTTTACATTTGAAAGGAAGTCGAAAATACTAAGGGTTAGGTACTTTAGGTCTTATTGTCCCTACAAAATAAGCGTAGAGTTTACACTATAAATAGTATTCTTACACCGAGCTTCCACCAACAACAATAATTATGGTATATTTCTGTTTTACCGGACACCTTGTTTTTGAATTTTTATTCTTTTAAAGTATGTAGGTAGTTAAGCATTTAGCACACTGGAAATAATAGTGAAGTCAGAATTTTGAGGTAGGACTTAGTTAGCTATTTGAAGTCCAAGACCCACTTAAGGTGATTTTACATAACAAATCGAAGGATGTTTTCGAATTTATTTGTCTACATGCAAATGCGATTTAAAATTACGGTAAATTAAGTAACCTGTATTTAAATCAATATACATATTTGCAAAATTAAAATTAAGATAAACACTGATTATATATTTATATATTGTCTGAGTTAGTGACTCAATGTCCAACTAACTAATCTATCATAAAGTCACGCACCCATTATACAAAAAAAACACTTTACATAGTTTGTAGATCACGCCTTATTAAGATTTGAACATTTTAGGACTGAAACGTCTGAAACTACTATTTAACAAAGGTGTCAAGGTGGTTGTTACTTGTTAGACTGTATGGCCAACTTCAGATCTATACAGAAAAATCGTCAGTGGTGTAATTTTAACTATAATATTGTATTTAAATGCCATAATCAATCGTCGCCTTCCAAAAACGTAAATAATCAGAGCTCAGTTTAATACATATAACCACTATTGTGTAACCATATATGCAGTGGCGTGCTGAACAGCTATTTTTTG